GAGCCGGGGTCTGGTCGAGGTTTCTGCCTCTTAAAAGAAAGTTTTCCTTGCCGCCGTCGCCAAGTGCTTGCTCATGGTGGAAACTGGTAGGTCTCTGTAAATAGTTTTATAAGGAATACGGTCTAGACCTACTCTATTTGAAAAGTGTCCTGAGTTCCTAACTTCTGTTAGGAATTGAATTGAAATAAATTGAATTTAATTTAATTGTTTTCAGTCTATATGCTAAGCATATTTAATGTACAGACACAATTATGTCAATGGGACAGACACATCAGTCAACACCAACACCTAACATGGACACAATGTCAACACAACACAATTAAATAACGAACTGAAGACAAAACGGCACTTCACTCTGATTTTCTAGGTTTGTAAGATTAGCACCAAGATGCTCGAACTCTACTGAGGTAAACAAAGAACAAGAATTGTATAGTATAAAACGATGTATATAATATAAAATAAAAATAATGATTCATGGGTAATTATAACTATGTGTAATGTCACTATTATTACATAAAAAATAATTGTATATAAACAATAAGAATTTAATCTGATGATCCTAATAGAAATCTAAATAACTACAATGAACACCTGGTATGCAATAAAGGGCAAACAACTGGAGGACTATAGAGTGAGTGTAACTCTACCACATGTGTGTCTTACCTGCCAGGTCTTCCTTAGAAGAAGCGATGCGAGGGGAACTGTTGCCAGGTTCAATCTTCAGAGACAGCCTGCAACACAAATGGTTTCCATCAGACACACAAGCCCTCTGATTAGCTGACACTTACTACTGTCCAGACAGAATGCATCACACACTCACTGCTGGGATATCAATTCTAGCACTTTAATAATAGAGTTTATTGAGCTAAGATCATTCAAAATAAGCCTACAGTACTGTATGTCAAACTAAACATCACTCAGCTAAACAATGAGGCTTCATACTCTTTTCATCATCTGTTTATGTAAAAGGGGGGGTTGAGAAAAAGGCACACATGGCTTCTAAAAGTAGTTATAGTTTTATACAAGGAGGCTGTAGTGGGTTCCCTTTTAAAGCTACTGGTATCATATGAAACTAGAAGACCTAACACATCCATTGGCACCAACCATTTCATGCTAGCATGTTGGGAAGAGGGCTAATAATAACGCTACATAATTAGGATACATTTTGCAGATTGGAAAATTGGCCTGGCCATTTTGAAAGGGATCCCTTGACCTCTGACCTCAAGATATCTGAATTATAATGGGTTCTATGGGTACCCACAAGCCTCCCCTTCTTGCAGACATGCATTATGCTAATCCCTAAAGGTTTTTTCACGTGGTATAAATGTGTTATTTTTGCCTAGTGTATTTGAAAATTTCTACATACTGGAAAGTTGATACACACACTTCATGCATAAGTCAGTGCCCCACTTGTTAAAAAAGTCTGGAAACGCCCCTGGATGTCTTGGCATGAAAATCACTGGGATCTATAATTAGGCAGTAAACACAGGTGTTACCATTGACACTAATTAAGATTCTGTTCCATTTAGTGTAGCAGAGCCTTTCCAGTGAGCCAACATGCACAATGACCTGACTGGAACAGAAACTTGAAAAGGTCTATAAATCATAAAAAAAAAAACTTTAAAAAGAAAATGAAATCATTTATATCATGAGTTTTCAACTGGTGAACTTGTTCTGAATAGGTCTTGGAGTGTATGGACAAAAAAATCAAATTTAAATGCTTAATTATCTAATGACTTTCAAATTTTCCACAAATGTCCATTAAGTGAAAACAGCCCTCACTTATTTCTTTATTGTGTAAACACAGTTATGATGTTTATTCATATTCATAAGAATCAGCAGCAGGCAGCTGTGATGTTCATACTAATTTATATTTTACATACTTAGATTACAGTTTATTATTAGTAATGTACTCTGATTGCAAGGATGAAAATATGTATGAAAATGTGTATATTTTATGTTTTTAAAAAATGACACTTTATATGTGTTTACTAGCCCTATGACTGCTCTGTGTGTGTGCTGCCAATCGGTGTGTGTTTATGTGTCAATGGGCCTCATGCAAAACGTGATATACTAACAATTTTTGTTCCATCTTTTTAAATCCATGATTTGTTTGTTGTTTGTAAGTATGCATTGATTTCTGGGATACAATCCAATCTAAAATTTAATGCAATTTTTATGCTTCTTTTACGTAAGACAATATTTAGAGCACTTAATATAAGAACAAAAGTTTTTACAGTCCACAAATTGTTTGTCCAGCATAAGGAAACATAGATTTTAAAGGTGAGGAACAAAAAAAAGACATGAATATCATATAATAAGACCGCTGCTCTACTGTATACTGTCAGTTTTAGGCTGGAATAAACTTGAACTGGATTTGCATAAAAATGACTGGAAGCTTTAAACAGCCAGTTTGGGCTTCAAACTCCAAAGTACGCGAACTGAACTTGGCGTACTTTGTATGTCTGCACATGCTCATTTTGGTCTACCAGCACATGGAAGAGTCCCAATAAACCCTGTTCCTTGGTGAATCGTATTCCGCCACTCATCACCACATTTGGAAAGTATTTAGTGAAACACTGCGGGTGGAAGAAACTGTGGTTTAATAGTCATTAATTAGTGAGAGTGGGTGGTTGTGTTCATGAATGACTGTTTAGAGTGCTGGCTCCAAAGAAAAACAGAGGGGGAGTGCCATGCAAACTTCCAACACACTCCGTCATGTCTATGATGTAATGTCCCCATCACATCGTACAATCAGCCTGGTTTCATCCGTGCATCTGTTTCGTCTCGATACTACTATTGTTAGTAATGCTCTGAGACTTAGCATCTCATCTCTGGCAACACTATCGACAGTTTCCAGAGTTGCACAATACAAAGCATTTAATTTGTTGACAGACTGAACTGATTCATATTAGAAACTTTCACTATCTAAATGCATTTCTAATTAAACTGCTGTATGTTCTTGTTTCTTTGGATCAGCATTTAAAGGTCCTTGAATGAATTGGACCAATTCAGTCCAATTCATTTTTATTTGTATAGCGCCAATTCATAACAGAAGTTATCTCAGGACACTTTTCAAATAGAGCAGGTCTAGCCCGAACTCCTTTTAACCATATA